TAAATCTCTAATATATGACAGCTGAGGCTTTCCATAAATTTTAATGAAATTTAACCCAAGAGGCAAAATGATATACCGGTACAAAGAAAATTTCCATAAATTCATAAAGCAAAAGAATTACCCATCGCTATATATTACACTGGAATACAGTTTTGCCGTATATTTTACATGTTTTGTTTGGATTTTTTTTTATGATTAAAAACCAGACTTTTTTTTATGAACAATATTTAAGAAAATATTTACCTATGTTGTGTGTTAATATATACAACATAATATTGTGGCTTTATAAGACTTATGACTGTGAGGGTCAAATTTTACTCATATAAAATCACATCTATGTAAGAGTTATCAGAGAATTTGTATTTACCACTCCCCTTTTCCCCGAAATAAAACATAAAAATCTGGAGTCGAAATCTTAAAAAGAAAAGATCAACTGATATGACAAATAATACGCTAAAACGTAGGACTGAGAGGGTCAGAGCTATATGAGAATGTGAAACACCCCCCCCCCCCCTGGCCTTGTTAGAGGTATCTGAAAATTGAATTTTCTTTTCCACGAAATAAAACAAAAGAATCTGGATTTAATCAAAAGTGATGCGGTTACGATTTCCATAGAATGTCAGAGACAATTTGTCGACTAGTTCGTTGAAAATTCGTCTAGGCAAGTAAAGTATGTCTTGTAACAAAGCAGGGTTTATTCATATTCATATCACACTTACATGTTCACGTCTTAATAAGCATGTAATATTTGCCACTGTACGCAAAACGCACGCAAGTTGTATTCTACTATGATTGAACCATGGTTGAATCTGGATTTAATCAAAACCGATGCTATTTGGATTTCCATAGATTGTCAGAGACGGTTTGTCAACTAGTTTGTTAAAAATTCGGCTAAGCAAGCAAAATATGTCTTGTACAGAGCCAAAATTTATTCATATTCATATCACACTAACATATTCTCGTCCTTATATGCATGTAATATTTGCCACTGTACACTAAACACAAATATATTATCATCAATTTTTTTTTATGAAAAGGAGCCTATTTTAAGCACGTTTATCGATTTGACACCCTGTAATTCATGTTTTTTGGGAGTTCTTCGAAAATTATAATATATTCCTTCTTTATTTGCAAAATCGCCAAGTGACAGGTGCCACATATGAAACAGGATCTGCTTACCCTTCTGGAGCACATGAGATCACCCCTTTTTTGAGGGTTTCGTGTTGCTCAGTCTTTGGTTTTTTATGTTGCGCTTAATATACTCTTGTTTGGCTTTTGATCTTTTTTCTCTCGTTTATTTCGGCTGATGAGTTTTTATCATGATATTGTCAGTTTGGTTAAGAGTTTTACTAGCCTTTTTGTATCTTTCGCCTTCTTTTATCCATTTTTGTGTATTTTTATTTAGTTTTTTTTTCGATTCTCCCCTCCCCCTGAACAGTATAATAGATAGATAAATGAAATTAGAAACCCTTTTCAACAAAAGGTGATCTACAAGTAACTCGACGTGACCGAAATTGTAAATTTCGTCTTCATTAGAGATATTGCCCTTAGGGTAGATCGGGTGTCTTCCGCCATCTTAGATTCTCATATAGCACAACACAATCGGTCTAGATCTAAAAAAATATACAAATTTTGAGAGACAAATGTTATTCATATGTAGTACTTTTCATCTTGATGAAGAGAATTATGTGATTTATCTGATTAAATTTGTTTTTGAATACAGAACGTTTTTTGCATATTTATTTTCAACTTTTCCATATAAGGGGAGATAACTCGGATAACATTATTTTTTGTCGTTTTTTATTTTTTTTATTTTTTGCCATAGCATTGTCAGTCTGTTTTCGACTTATGAGTTTGAAATCCCTTTGGCATATTTCGTCTCTAATGATGGAATGTGTAGGGACTTTATCTGTTTTGTTTTGTAGACAGAAAACGAGTCTCGTGTTCCCAATTTTTATTTCTATTTTCTAACATTGAGTTTTCCATGTATAGTTTATACAAAATCTGACAATACTGCATAACCTGTAGCTTGTGAAATGCTCTGTGACCCAAACTTTTTATTATGTTTTTCAAAAAAGAATAAACTACATTTTGGCAAATAATTTTAAAAAATCTACCGATTTTAATTTAGACCACACTCATGAAAACTATAAGAGAGAGAGAAACTGTTGACATAAAAAAAAACATATCTACAAATTAATCAAAGCAATACCAAAATAATTCATGCACTTAAACAATTTTCACAGATTTTTGATTTTTTTCTTTTTCTTTGAAAACACATATAGATAGAGAGAAGCTGCAAAGAACCAAGAAAATCACTATGGACAAGAAAATAAGTGACGGAAATCATTAATTGGCTTCTTATTATAAGTTATAGGGGTCATTGTCCATTAATGACTTTACCAATTAAAAAAAATTAAATATTCTCCGAGTGGATATATACATAAACTGGGCACTATCTTACTTGGTTCTGGAAAAATTGTTGACACTGCTGTAAATGATGTATTTTTTTTTTAGAAAGTTGACGATTTAGACTGGAGGCTTTAGGTCAAATTTCATTAGGTTTCATAGAGTTCATGTATGAGCGAAAAGTATACAACAGAATCTACCATACTTTATGTTTGGGTTGGCCCCATGCAGTAGGATTCTTCCACCTATCAATTCATCCATATGGATACATTCGAATTTTATAGATTATTATTCAATCAATAATTTTTTGTTTGTTTTTTTTTTTTGGTGGGGAGAGAGGTCACATTCTTTTACAGTTCTATTCTTTAGCGTATCATTTATCAGAACTGTTGGGTTTCATTTTTTAGATTAAGTCCATATTATTTTCCTTTATTCCGGAGAAAAGGGGGCGGTATAAAATTAAAATTATCCGATAACTCTGACACGGATGTGGTGTAATAAGCTTTAATTTTAGTAGATCATTTCCCAGAGCATTTGAATTTTGTTAGAGGAGATAACACAGATTAAGGCATAAGACTTTGTATTTCCTGTCAGTGATATATTTTTTTTTATCGTGTAAAAGGAATTTATACGAGAGAAAAAAAACTAATCACATGAGGATTATTATAGAAATCGTTTAATCTTTTACAAAAATTAAGAGTTACAAAGCTTATTATGTAAACGCTGTATGAATAAACGGGAATGTGGGTTATGCATAACTGGGACAGCAATCCAACGACAAAAAAAAAATCAAAAGACATAGTGAGGGTAACACATTAAACAGAATTCATCAAAGAATTGTCATTAAAATTGAATTCTTATAAATAACGAAAAACATTAAGTTATGACAATTACCGACGAGGTTCCTGACTTGGAACAGATACACGGAAATATGATTGCCACAATATTATGTTGTATATATTAAGAAACAACATAGATAGATATATTCTTAAATATGGTTCATCAAAAAAATTCTGACAGATTTCGTTTTTTTATCCAAACATTTGCATAAAATCCTAACAAAACATGTAGAATATGCAAAACTGTATTCAAGTGTACTGTATAGCGATGAGTAATTCTTTTGCTTTATGAATTTATGGAAAACGTTCTTTGTATATCATTTTGCCTCTTGAGTTAAATTTCATAAATATTTATTAACTTGCAAATGAAAAACAAATTCCTGGGGATTTGTCCCTCGCTCTTTTCCATAGAATTGCAGTTTCAATTCACATAATTCTGTTAAGTTGACGCATCGTTATTGTCTTTCAATTTAACATAAAACGATCTAAACTTTGTACTATATTAGAAGTCAACACCAAAAATCTTCAATTCTGCACAAATATATACTTTCAATTGTACATCATGGTGTTTTAAATCAACAGATTACATGATAGACCTATCGTAATATCACAATGATATAACATCATACTATCTCAGCTCAACATTTATTAATAACAAGTCAGCACCATACATTTTAGCTATTCATTTTATTTGTTATCATAGCTATCGAAGTGGATGACTGAGCAGTATCCATCTGCAAGCTAACATCATGCAACGTCAACTTCACATCATGTACTTAAAACCTAACGTTACGTGTGTTTGGCATATCATCACAACATCGTGACTAATACAGTCACGACTGAAGCACTTGTCATTGCAAGTCAACATTGCGCAGATTCAACTTAGCATATTGTAATTTAGAGTTAGCATTTTGATGACTCAATTCAACAACACGCTGTCTTAACTTTACATTTTAAGCTTCGGCATAACATTTTGTAAATCTCTTATATATGACAGCTGAGGCTTTCCTTAGATTTTGACAGATTCTGAAAATTTGTAATAAATATTGAGTCAAATTGCACCCAATGGCAATATAATGTTTGATTGTTGGTTGCTTGACGTTCAGTGTTTTATGCATGTTCAGGACGACTATAACAATATAAATAGTTGTTGTTCTTATAGTTTAACCCTGCTATACCAGACAAAACGTACAATGCATGCTGTCTGCATGTCTATACGAATATAACTTTTAATCAGTCGGCATTAAAATATAAGAATAGGTAAAGATAAAGTTTTTGTTTTAAAGATTTGATCAAATTACTAAACAATCGATTGTATCATACACCAGTTTGGACCCATGACACTTTTAAAAAAAAATCTAATGTATTCAGCATTTTCACAAGGTTTATCCAACTAAGAGACTTATTGTTCTAGCTGGATTAGGTTACAAATTTGGTGGTACTGGCTTAAACAATAAAATCACTTTGATTTGTTTTCTTAATCATGAATTCGATGCACATCAACGTTAATCCAGTATTTTCAACAACAACAGCAAATGTTTTATTATACTTAGACAAAACAGTGAACCAGAAGTTACTTGTCAATTTTCAAGTTAGAGTTCAACTTTTGTTTATCACCATTTTCATTCTCTTTCTTGCTTTCTTACGTTTCAATTTCAACACTGTCGCTAAAATTCGAAAATTTGTCTCAAAATGTTGTTCTATGTACAATTTTGTTTATCTTATCTTTTAATAATAAAAAAAAATACATACCCTATCCATTAGATGTTTAATAACACCATCCCACGAACCATCATCTGACATAGCGCCAACCAAGCCATCTGGTGACTCTTCAATCTCGTATTCAAAATCTGCTGTTTCAGCAATAGCGTCTAGTAGATCTAAGCAATATCCATCGTAGTCGGCTCTTGTGACATTTTTCTTGGAATTATCAGTCAACTTTATCACAAAAGGCTCATACTAAGAATTTAAAACAAAATTCATTAATAATGAGAAACCTTATGAACACTAAAATTTCAAATTGTACATGTATAGAAATAACTCCTTTTCATGCGGTTATACTGAACGTCGGCAAAATAGCTGCGATGTGCACGTAGTAAAAACTAGGAAGGTGATCCTGTGATATCCCCATCCAAAGCAACTGAGATATTACGATTGTATTTCTTTAAGAAACTGAGAATTTTATAAGATAATTTGATACTTTTGCCATAGTTCAAAGCAGTGTATACATTTTTTTCTGTATGCACATTGAAGAAATAACTTGGGATAGTCTGGTGAAAATGGATGTGGCCACAAAATTCGGTTGCAGTTTTTATTTTGACATAGGAAATATTATACAACAAAAAGACTTTCAAACATCAAAACAGGAGATAAAGTAGCACTACTTTATATTTAGTTTATTATTATAATACTATTATGGCCTTTATCAAAATTATTGATTATTCCAGACTTTTGGAAAATAACCTTCATTCGATTTAAAAAAAAAACATATTAACTTATGATGAAGGCTGTCATTGTATATTATTGTTTCCCCTTTTAGAGATTACATAGTCTTTGATGTTTAAAATCATTTGATCTAAGACTAAAAAATAACTTTATTTCTTCTTATTATTTAAATTACCTTCGGAACAATGACTACCCTATATTTCTTCTTTCCAACTTCTTTTGTTAGTTTCCCTTTGACAGATATACGGTCTACTTCGTTCCACGTTCCTAACTGTAAATAAAAGAAAAATAAGGAAACATGGTAGGACAAAAAAGAGAATATCTAAACAAATACAAGCCACAGTGCGACTTTCAACAACAGATTAAGATCAATACCATAAGAAATGCTATACAAGAACTTATGTAGACCAAATTGATAAAGATGAATAAAACGACAACCAAATATAAATAGAAAACTCACAATGTGAAAATTTAAAACTCAATAATGATGATTATGGCTGAACTATCACAAGCTAAATCTATTATTTCATTGCGTCAAATACAAATACTGAAAATAAAAATATTCATGAACATAATTTTGACATTTCAACCAGAAATAACAGTCATTTATTCTGATAGAGGTATCGTTAACCAACCATTACAACATATTGATGAATTATAACAAGCATGTGAAAATATCACACAAGATGAAAATTGTATAAAATCACTTTTACATAAATTACTAGATAAACCCAAAAGTTTAGCTGAACTCGTTAAACATTAATAGATATACAACGCATCGAGGACAAAAAGGATTTTAACAATAAAATAAATCGGGTAAATGACAGGATAGCGGCTTTTTTAAAACAAATTTGTACCAATGACGAACACCAGACGGAAACGTGAAACCAGTGTCAAGCATGAAAAAACTGAACAAGACAAAAAATTGTCCGAAAACTGGAAAATCCCCCTTTTTTAATGAATAAAACCCCATAACTCGGAAACGTCAAATCTCAAATTTATAAAAATCGAAAGGGAGCTTACGTCAATAGATATAAACAATTCACCAAAGTTTCATGCAAAATGGTTAAAGCGTTTTTGAGTTAGTGTACGACATGTTGACGACGGACGGACAGACGGACGGACGGACAACGGTATACCATAATACGTCCCGTAAACGGGCGTGTAAAAACCTTGTCCTCAACATATTAAATTATGATTTTACATTACGTTGAAGAGAAAAAAAATTGCATTTGAGCAGGCTGAAGGTGCCAGAAAAGTTAATCAGCCTGTTTAAATTGATTTCTTGTATGGGATTGGAACAAAATGTAATGTTTTGTAGCTAAGCAATATCCTTTTCAGACCGTTCATGAAAAATGACCATTATATTTTTGGGGTTTCACTTTCCGCGATCAACATGCGGAATCGTTACCAAAACACTACAGCCAATGTTTGAGGCCTCCAAAATTAAATTGTGTTCAATCTGTCAAACATGTGTTCTGTCTGTTTTTCAGTACGATTAGTTGCTTTAGTTTGCCAAGTTTGAATTCCTTGTTCATTGGAACAAAGACAACATTCATTAATCTTCATCGCCATGTGATTGACAGCAAATTATATGTCATTTGTTTATGAGTTAATGTGGTTCAACACAGTTAAATACCATATCACATATTAGTGGGTTCATATATGAAGGCCTTAAACATATATCAGTTGTAATATTATAAGTCCAGTAAAGAACTATAATTGCAACAGCAAGTGTCTGAGACAGAAACACGCCAAAACAAACCGCTAATAATATCAAACGAAGGATGGCGGACATATTGAATCTATGACAGATTCAAAATGTCTCTTATAATAAGTTGAGACAATAAAATGCAGGGTGATTGTAGACTTTTTAAAGTCATATTTTCGGACACCACCTTGCTAGAGAATTTGTTTAAGTTTAGGGTGGGATACCATTGCATGAGAAAAAACGGCATGCTTTGGCATATCGTATCAGCTGACATACATAATCACACTGTGGAACTACTCAAGAATGGTAATTTGACTATATGAAAACTGAAATCATCAAGTTTGAAAATATTGATTTAAATGACAAATGCCAATCTTACCGTATTTTTATTTAAGTTATCAAGTATGACACGATTGATCGTTAACTGGACATCCTGTCTCAGCATGCCTTTCCTGTATGATATGTTTCCATAAACACCAGTCCGTTTTGCCTAAAACAATTTGTAAAATATTTTATATATACTGAGTGCCAATAGAAACGCAAAATATCATGTTCTACGCACCTTTTGGTCCTTTTTTGAAAACCAATACAAGCTTTTTTTTCAATACTTTCCTCAAACATTTGGCGACATGTTACTTTAACAGTTTGTTCTTGCATTGACAATTTTCTAGTTCAGATTTTGCGATGTGTCCAATAGGAGTCAAAATCAAAACTCACTAATGTTTATTCAACTGTGAACACACTTGACCCAATGCAAATGAAATTTTTACATGTAATCTGCACTACTTTCTGGTTACCTTTGTCATATGGATTCATCTTGGTGAAAATTTGCCATACAAAGTGTAAATTTTATTTTTAATGTTAAGAATTAGGAATTTGTTAAAATCTGAAAATTACTGTTATCGATCTGTAGGCATATCCAAAGAAGCCGACAAAAATCTAGGAACGATTAACTAACTTTCTAAGAAGATAAGAGTTTGAATTTTTATTAAATGAAATATTATACATGAAAAAATGAAGGGGCTGTGTTTCTATTGGTACTTGTATATTAAAAAATCAGACTTCTTAGTGGTAGCACAGTTGGTCAGATAACAGTACAAGGAAGGAGGTGGGGTAATGCCACTGTTTTTGCCCATTCCATTCGAAAATCGCATGATAGTATTATCCTAGAACATCCACTAAATTGATGGATTGAATGATTGATGATTGATCAATTTACGAAGCATCAGCGGAAAAGACTATATCGCTCAAGAAGCTCACAAACCATAACATTTTCCCTTACTTATTTACTTTAAGCTTTCAAACTTCTTTCATTTAACAGAAAATTACCAAATTGCCTAATGTCCTATGAATCGTCTCATTAAACAATAACCTCATCTAAAGCTATTTTGTCAGAAAGTGTCTTATACAAAGATGTTTGATATTTTGTAGCTGATAAGACTTTTGATCACTTTTGGTCATATATAATGCAACATAAATGTGTTGGATCTAGAGATTTTAACATCTGGTAGTATAAATCTGACAAAAGAGCAAAATGAAGAAATATTTAGAAATGATTTTAATTATATAAAAAAGACCAAAAGGTTCCTTGTTTAATAATGTGTATAAGCTGAATGTAGTGATTCACACACACACACACACACACACACTCACACACACACATGCATATATATTTTTTTTTATTCCTATCTTTCCCCTTTTCTATACTGTTTCTTAATATGTCATTTAAATTACAGATGTTTGATTATATATTGTGTAATTATAAATTTGATATTTGCATGCTATGAAATTCTATTGTCTAATATTGTATTTAAGGAGAAGACGATCTAAGTTAGTCTAACTTGTGTTTAATCCTTTTTGTGAGTTTTTTTTTGCATATAAAATGTGTTTAAACTAAACATAAATGTGCATTTCTTTTCATATAACTCAGTTATGAGATTTTAAAGACGTGACAATGACATCGCAAGAGTCTCTCAAGAGCCTAAATCGCTCTCCTGTATAATTTTTGCTTAAATCTTTCATCAATGATTATTTTTGCTTTTCAAAATATATTAATGAGTGGCTAAAAAATGCCATTTAAATGTTCTTTGTATCTGTCATATTTTCTTCAAAAGCAAAAAAATGCATTTTACCCCTATGTTCCATTTTAGCCATAGTGGCTATGTTTCTTGACTACAAGGAAATAAAATACAAAATTTATACTAGATTCATGTACTCTGAAACTCACTCAGTCCAAGTTTGGCTGAAATTGATTCAGCAGTTTCAAAGGAGAATATTTTTTAAAGTAAGCAAACTAGATGAACAAATTGTGAAAAAATTGTCTTTAAAGGGCAATAACTCCTTAAGGGGTCAATTGACAATTTTGGTCATACAATAACTTATTTGTAGATCTTCCTTTGCTGATCATTTTTGCTGTTTACAGTTTATCTTTATCTATAAAAATATTCAAGATAATAACCGAAAACTGCAAAATTTCCTTAAAATCATCAATTCAGGAACAATAACCTAACTAGAGGCTCTAAAGAGCCTGTGTCGCTCACCTTGGTCTATGTGCATATTAAACAAAGGACACAGATGGATTCATGACAAAATTGTGTTTTGGTGATGGTGATGTGTTTGTAGATCTTACTTTACTGAACATTCTTGCTCCTTACCATTATCTCTATCTATAATGAACTTGGCCCAGTAGTTACAGTGGAAAATATTTTGTAAAAATTTACAAAAATTTACAAAATTTATGAAAATTGGTTAAAAATTGACTATAAAGGGCAATAACTCCTTAAGGGGTCAATTGACAATTTTGGTCATGTTGACTTATTTGTAGATCTAACTTTGCTGTACATTATTGCTGTTTACAGTTTATCTCTATCTATAATAATATTCAAGATAATAACCAAAAGCTGCAAAATTTTCTTAAAATTACCAATACAGGGGCAGCAACCCAACAACCCAGGGCAGATAGATCTTGACCTTATGAACAATTTTATCCTCATCAGATTTGCTCTATATGCTTTGGTTTCAGAGATGTGAGCCAAAAACTGCATTTTACCCTATTTACTATTTTTTAGCCATGTCGGCCATCTTGGTTCGCGGGCGGGGTCACCGGACACATTTTTTAAACTAGATACCCTAATGATGATTGTGGACAAGTTTGGTTAAATTTGTCTTAGTAGTTTCAGAGGAGAAGATTTTTGTAAAAGATTACAAAAATTTACGAAAAATGGTTAAAAATTAACTATAAAGGGCAATAACTCCTTAAGGGGTCAACTGACCATTTTAGTCAAGTTGACTTATTTGTAGATCTTACTTTGCTGAACATTATTGCTGTTTACAGTTTATCTCTATCTGTAATAATATTCAAGATAATAACCAAAAACGGCAAAATTTCCTTAAAATTACCAATTCAGGGGCAGCAACCCAACAACGGGTTGTCCGATTCATCTGAAAATTTTAGGGCAGATAGATCTAGACCTGATAAACAATTTTACCCTCTGTCAGATTTGCTCTAAATGCTTTGGTTTCAGAGATATAAGCCAAAATCTACATTTTACCCCTATGTTCTATTTTTAGCCATGGCGGCCATCTTGGTTGATTGGCCGGATCACCGGACACATTTTTTAAACTAGATACCCCAATGATGATTGTGGCCAAGTTTGGTCAAATTTGGCCCAGTAGTTTCAGAGGAGAAGATTTTTGTAAAAGTTAACGACGACGGACGACGACGACGGACGACGACGACGACGACGGACGACGGACGCCAAGTGATGAGAAAAGCTCACTTGGTCCTTTTGGCCAGGTGAGCTTAAAATCAGATACCGGATTTGGCTCATAATTTCAGGGCAGGTAGACCTTGACCTAATGAATACTTTAACTTCTTGTCTGATTTGCTCTAAATGCTAGAGTTTTTGAGATAAAAGTAAAAAACTGCATTTTACCCTATGTTCTATTTTTAGCCATGGCGGCCATGTTTTCTGAGGAAACAGAAAATAAAACACAAAATTTATTCTAGATATCCTAAGAATCATTCAGCTTAAGTTTGGTTTAATTTGGTTCAGTAGTTTCAGAGAAGAAGATTTTTTAAAGTTAGAAAACATGACAAACAAATTGGCTAAAATTGTCCTTAAAGGGCAATAACTCCTTAAGGGGTCAATTGACAATTTTGGTTATTTAATTTATTTGTAGATCTTATTTTGCTGAACATTTTTGCTGTTTACAGTTTATCTTTATCTATAATAATATTCAAGATAATAACCAAAAACTGCAAAATTTCCTTAAAATTACCAATTTAGTGGTTGCAACCCACCAATGGGTTGTTAAATTCATCTGAACATTTCAGTCCTGATAGAACTTGACCTAATGAACATTCTAACACCATGTCTGATTTGTTCTAAATGCTTTAGTTTTAGAGATATAAGCAAAAAACTGCATTTTACCCCTATGTTCTATTTTTAGCCATGGCGGCCATGTTTTTTGACGAAACAGAAAATAAAACACTAATTTATTCTAGATACTATCAGGATCATTCAGCTTAAGTTTAGTTGGAATTGATTCAGTAGTTTTAGAGGAGAAGATTTTTTAAAGTTAGAAAACATGATAAACGAATTGGGTAAAATTGTTCTTAAAGGGCAATAACTTCTTAATGGGTCAATTGACAATTTTGGTCATATAAAAACTTACTTGCAGATCTTACTTTGCTGAACATTTTTGCTGTTTACAGTTTATCTTTATCTATAAAAATATTCAAGATAATAACCGAAAACTGCAAAATTTCCTTAACATCATCAATTCAGGAACAATAACCTAAAAATCAGATACCGGATTTGGCTCATAATTTCAGGGCAGGTAGACCTTGACCTAATGAATACTTTAACTTCTTGTCTGATTTGCTCTAAATGCTAGAGTTTTTGAGATAAAAGTAAAAAACTGCATTTTACCCTATGTTCTATTTTTAGCCATGGCGGCCATGTTTTCTAAGGAAACAAAAAATAAAACACAAAATTTATTTGAGATATCCTAGGAATCATTCAGCTTAAGTTTGGTTTAATTTTGTTCAGTAGTTTCAGAGAAGAAGATTTTTTAAAGTTAGAAAACATGACAAACAAATTGGCTAAAATTGTCCTTAAAGGGCAATAACTCCTTAAGGGGTCAATTGACAATTTTGGTCATTAAATTAATTTGTAGATCTTATTTTGCTGAACATTGTTCTGTTTACAGTTTATCTTTATCTATAAAAATATTCAAGATAATAACCAAAAACTGCAAAATTTCCTTAAAATTACCAATTTAGTGGCAGCAACCCAACAATGGGTTATTAGATTCATCTGAAAATTTCAGGGCTGATAGAACTTCACCTAATGAACACTTTCACCATATGTCAGATTTGCTCTAAATGATTTAGTTTTTGAGATATAAGCCAAAAACTGCATTTTACCCCTATGTTCTATTTTTAGCCATGGCGGCCATGTTTTTTTGACGAAACAGAAAATAAAACACAAAGTTTATTCTAGATACTATAAGGATCATTCCGCTTAAGTTTGGTTGGAATTGAAGTAGTTTCAGAGGAGAAGATGTTTGAAATAGTTTACACCGGACGGACGACGGACGACGACGGACGACGACGGGCGACGACGGGCGCCAAGTGATGGCAAAAGCTCACATTTCCTTCGGAAAGGCGAGCTAAAAATGTAATACCAGAATTAATACACTTTTAAAAGATCTTAGGAATTAAAAATACTGTTCAATGTTCAAGAGGCATAATAATGATCTTTATGAATGTCAACAATATAACTAACTGATAACAACATATATTTCTGAGTCATTATGATTCACACAAGACATCTGATCAGATACTTACAAAAGATAAGAGTTTTAAAAACAAACGTTGTCATCCTTTTAACACAACGTTAACATTTCCCTCACTTTTGTATTCTAAAATGTGAGACATTCATGTTTTGGTCACTGCCTAATCCTTAGACAGACTGGCACTTAAGTAGTCCAAAAGGTTTTCCTTTTTACCTAATTGAAATTTTTTTCTTTCTTATTCTTGTTGACTATATTGCTTATTGGACGATTGATTTTAAATAACAAATCATTTGCTAAAAAATGCTTAGTTCTTTATGATTTGGCAACATGTGTTATATTCGTGACTAACAGAATTTAGTAAACAGACATCTGGTCAGACACTTACAAAAGACAGCCACATTTTATGAAACTTTGCCCAACAAATCACTTAAATTCAGATGTATGTCTAGAACATTCAGAATCAGTTTGTCCTCCTTTTAAATAGACAACAACGCTGAATATATATATGAGAATTGCATTGGTAAAAACCAAGGTAGTAAAAAATCTTCAATTATTGTAAATAGGAAATGTGAAATACACCAATCATACATATTTTTTAAAGGACTAGTAGTAATCATAATAGAAGCAATCAACAGTTCTACAAGGAACAAACTTTGCAAACACTATTTTTTTCTAAAATGACAAGACATTATTGCGATCTGTCTAACATTGTTTTCTTTGACTGTGTAATTGACAATCACGTGGCATGGTGATAAGTATATCTGGTATCACAATGATACCGTTATAGAACTATTACAAAAACATTTGTCACAATTTGACAATCATTTTCTTTTGTCTAAGTACAAGAAAAATGATGAGCAAATATAAATTTTACCGTTTTGAAAGGTTCCACGATTTTCTTTGATTCGTCGACTCGCGATTGGTTCCTTACAAGAGAAACTGTATTGCAATCAGGGATGATGACTGGTGTAGCGTTTATGAAACGATCTGATACATCGTCCAGAATCATTCGCAAATCATACATAAAAGCTGCGTCGATCTATAACAGAAAACCCTCTTTGATTGTTCAAATTTATCTTAATGGTACATAAGAACAGAAACTTTAGGCGGTTGTATCATAGACATGCAATCACGAATTTGAATTGTTTGATAGCTAAATCACTGTTTGTTTGCTGATTTTTAATACAAGCAAACACAAAAAGAGCCATTTATCATTTACTAAAATATTTTAATGAAATAAAATTTGTCTTTATAAAGAACTAAGGTAGAAAAAACATCTAAAACTTTAATAAAAAGGGAATGTAAAATACAACAATAATATATGCTAATTTTTTTAATTATTAATCATAACAGGAGCATATAATTTTGATGGACATGTAAGTAATCTTCTTAACCAAAAATAATCCCAATGTACTTCATTGATTCAAAAGTAACATACCGGTTATTATACAAAAGTAAATTACCAGCTTTAATACAAAAGTAACATGCAAGCTACTTACATTGAATCCGTATATGGTGAAAAAGTTTTCTCTGAGTTGTATTTTGACAAAGTCTAAATAAGCATCCCTTGACGTGTAGTTGTATGATTCGTTACCGTTGATATGTATAACAGACTCCGACTTCCCTGATCTACACTTCGAGCATAATTCATGTCCCTGATAAACATAAACGGTAGAATAGCATATTTAATTTACATAATATAACGTCATTCATTTGCCTGATACAAATATTGTGAACTTATCTGACAATACTCCAATCTAATTAAAATATAGAACTCGGATTTACGAGTATGTAGTATAACGAAATCCGAGTTCTATATTTTAATTAGATTGATCAATATTCGTAGGTTACTAATTTTTATGGATTTTGTGGGTAAAGTTGAACAACCACGAATTTCAATCTTCAACAAAAATACCAGTTTTTATAGACTAGAATTTGTCAAATTCACGAAATCATGTATCCACGGAAATAGAATTTTGCCTTAATCCATGAATATTGGTACCCACGAAAATAACTGAATCCACGAATATTTTTCATATTTTATGAAAAACCTTTGAATTCATTTTTATGCTAATTTTATGGGCGCCTCTCTTGATCCCGTCACCACACATGGTTAAAAAAAATGTTTGCTTTCCTCTTTTTTTGTGACTGCAAAGAACGTAGAAATAATACCCCAAAAAAATAGTAAGTTACTAAAGACCATGGTAAGATGAATACCAAAATTTATGATAAAAGAGATGATTTTTCATTTCCTATTGTTAATTATCCATTTTTAGATGGTGACGTTCCCTAGTCACCATCTTATGGTGTTTATATATCTCAACTTGTTCGGTTCGCTCGTGTATGTAACAACGTATTTGATTTTAACGAAAGAAATCTCTGTATTACTGAAAAATTATTACACCTTGGTTTTCGATATCACAAACTAGTCAAAACATTTACTAAATTTTATCATCGGTAAAAGGACATCATTTGTAAATATAAATCAACATGCAAACATCTTATACGTTCAGGTATTTCACATCCAATCTTTTATGGTAATATTCTTTACAAAGCACAAAAATGTCGGATTTTACCTCAAAAGGTAACCAAACCTTTAAACAGACTTACTCGGAAGGGATATAGTTACGATACTGTTGTCAGGTCATTAAGAATTGCATATTTTGGTATTAATATTGATTCACTCATAGGGTCTTTGCATCGGAAATAACACATTTATTCTAAAACCAGTTGTTGGCATGATACGGGTTATGTTCTTCTCATATATTTTATTATGGTATGATACTAAACCCCTAACGGGAGGGATTGTACTTGATTTTCATATGATGAAGACATAATCTTTCAATCAGTTTAATTGAGGTCTTGAGCTGGCATGTCAGTAACTGCTAGTAGTCCTTTGTTAATTTAAGCATCATTGCCATTTTGATTAGTTTCTTTTGTTACCTATTCTGACATCGGACTTGGGCTTCTTTTAAACTGAGTTTTACTGTGCGTATTGTTGTGCGTTTCTTTATTCTACATTGGCTAGAGGTATAGGGGGAGGGTTGAGATCTCACAAAACATGTTTAACCCCGCCGCATTTTTGCGCCTGTCCCAAGTCAGGATCCTCTGGCCTTTGTTAGTCTTGTATGTTTTTTTTAATTTTAGTTCATTTATATGTTTTGGAGTTTAGTATGACGTCAATTTTCACTGAACTAGTACACATTTTTATTTAGGGGCCAGGTGAGGACCACCTCAGGGTGCGGGATTTTCTCGCTGTTTTGAAGACCCGTTGGTGGCCTTCGGCTGTTATCTGCTCTTTGGTCGGGTTGTTGTCTCTTTGACATATTCCCCATTTCCATTCTCAATTGCAATAAAATTTGTTTAAAGTTATCCCTCTTTAAATAATTTGTATTAGATTTAACATGAATCAATAATGTAAAAATGTATTGAAAATTTTCTAAATAATTAAATAATAACGCCAGCACATCATTTGGTCATTTGTTTACTCGTTATTGTAATATTTAAGCAAGTTTAGTTTTCCATCCAGCCTAGTTTAACAAAAAAAAAAACAACAACAAATAAAACAACAAGGACAAACAAGGTCTCATATATAGCAGATATGTTTAGCGGATTTTATGGCTAAATGTAAAATAGTTGCATTTGTATTAAAAAAAGAAGGTTATACCGATTCTTTTCATTCTAGTTACCTACGAATGAAATAACTACAAGAGAAATTGACCATACTTATAGTTATATTGATCATGTTTATTCAGACCAGGGTTATAAGCTAGTCTGTTATAAAAAGTAAAATAACAAACCTACCGAACTAATATATAATGTAATCACTCTGTTTCTATTCACACATTTTCTAATTATAATCGTGTTCCCTCCAATTTCTTGGAGAAAGTATTGGAGGGGGTAATGTTGATTAGAGCGTTAAACAAGAATAAATGAAGTTCTTGGGTATATCTCAGTGAGATAGCAACCAAACATTAAAATAAAATAAAAATAATAAGACATATTTACGCACTGTTTTGTAGAAAAACAAATATTTTTTAAAAATCTAAAGTACTATACTCTGCATAATCCAAGGATGCATATCACCAACAATAGCATGAATAGGATAGTTCAAAATAAATAGCAAACTGACCTTTTGACATTGGGAAAGCAGAGGTAAACTATTTTTGATCCTCTGTTATGGGGGATGATCTCAATTGCATCATCTGTTTAAATAAAAGTACCTTCGTTATAACAAACCAGTTGTAAGCTTCATCCATAAGTTCTTGCTTTCTTGCCTGAAACAAAATGTTGACATTATTTAATGCAACGTTCGTTGCATATACAAATTGTGAACAAACGATGCTGATGAATTGTATTTTGATTTAATGCAACTATGTAAAATTGTGGCAAAATATTTAAAGTTTATGATGTAGACTCTTAATATGTTATTTCCGGTAGGATTGATACCTTTGAATTTTAAACCTGTGAGCGAAACAAGTACAGGGCAAATCGGTCCTACCTCTTTTGTGCGTTTGATGCGCTTTTTGGATTTACCTTCAGTTGTTATGATCAAACAAAAAACAAACAAGTGAAACTGCGAGCTACTGCTCACTGATGATACCGCCGCCGCAACTGGATAATTTTAATAGTGTATAAATATGTAAGTGTTCGGTAAACAGGAAGTTGTTGAGTGATGAATCTGAAAACGCATCACACGGTATAGCTGACTTATATAAACCCTGAAACCAAATTTCAGAAATCCTTATGATGTAGTTCCTGAGAAAGATGCGACGAAAAATATTCATGGGACGGACGGACGGACAGACAGAGGTAAAACAGTATACCCCCACTTTTTTAAAGCGAGGGTATAAAAAGCCAAGGGTGCATAAATACTTGAATACGAGAGGCGCTATATAACCAAAAGGGGTATGAAGATAATAGCCAAATCATTTAAGATCAACCTTACATGGAGAAGAGCTATGTAACCAAAAAGGGAATGAAGATAATAGCCAAATCATTTAAGGTCAACCTTATATGGAGAGGAGCTATGTGACCAAAAGGGGTATGAAGGTAATAGCCAAATCATTTAAGGTCAGCCTTGCATGGAGAGGAGCTATGTGACCAAAAGGGGTATGGGAGGAGCTATGTGACCAAAAGGGATATGAAGGTAATAGCCAAATTATTTAAGGTCAACCTTACACGGAGAGGAGCTATGTGACCAAAAGGGGTATTAAGATAATAGCCAAATCATTTAAGGTCAACCTTGCATGGAGAGGAGCTATGTGACCAAAAGGGGTATGAAGATAATAGCCAAATCATTTAAGGTCAACCTTGCATGGAGAAGCGCTATATAACCAAAAGGGGAATGAAGATAATAGCCAAATCATTTAAGGTCAACCTTACATGGAGAGGAGCTATGTGACCAAAAAGGGTATGAATATAATAGCCAAATCATTTAAGGTCAATCTTACATGGAGAGGAGCTATATAACCAAAAGGGGTATGAAGATAATAGCCAAATCATTTAAAGTCAACCTTGCATGGAGAGGAGCTATATAATCAAAATGGGTGTAAAGATAACAGCCAAATCATTTAAGGTCAACCTTGCATGGAGATGAGCTATATAACAAAAAGAGATATGAAGATAACAGCCAAATCATTTAAGGTCAACCTTGCATGAGGCTGTGACACACCCAAGTTTCTTAATCATTTCTTTATTTATCAGCGGGCATTTTAAGAAAGTACATTAAAAAATAACGTGCATATTGAAGAACTGACTACTGAGCTGTGTTGGTTGTCGCTTACTGTTGTCTTATTTATAACACCCGACACCAATATGTGACCCAATAATGTCAATATTTGTGGGTCATTAGGAGTACCAAATACATTACAATTTTTTAAATTATGATTTTTATCCGATGTTATTTCGAGGGGCGGAGTACTTTTAGATACGATTTCAGAATATATTTTTCAATAAGGTCATATGTAAAACTCTTTTATGTTATGGTGGCCAACTTAAATTTTGTCATGGTCATAAGATAAAAATTTGAGAGAAAATTATATGAAGAATTAAGAACGTTCTCGAAAAACTATTTTAAGTGATGTACAAGTAAGTAAAATCTATCAGACGTTTTTACAAAATTTCTTATGGCAATACGATATAGCAGTATAGTTATCATGGATCGATTTTCCACCATATTTGGAAGCAGCCAATAATGAACCAAATCTAAAACAAATTGCCCCATATTGCAGAGAAAATATTCATCATTGTCTTTTTTTTGTTATTTTGTTTGCAGGATTATCGTATATTACATTGATTTCGATATCATGAATGTGACTGTGGCTTAGAGGGTGGGAATGTTTAGCTCATATTGAGCATTGAGGAAAAGGTTTTGAAAAAAAATAATGGGTATGAAATAGCACTGTGCGATTACTTTTGGTCATGTGAGCCAAAAGTACGATATGTTTACGCTTTAATTTCTAACATGATTCGGTAAAGGAAAAAGTTAAGAATGTAATAGTCTACAGCTTTCGTGGATTTAAATATTGATATAAAAGAACAAAACAGGCAACTACCTCGCCTAAAACACTCTCTGCACTGTTCTTATCACTAACAAGAATGAAAATTTTTGTCCCTATATCTTTCAGCTTTTTCATCTGTTCGGCAAGACCCTCTCCTATGGCAATTTCCTGGTATAAGTGCTGTGCTGGAACACCAGTTAAAATTCTCTTGGCTATGGTATGAAGATCTTAAAGTAAAATAAAATGAATAAGGCGTTTAGTTTTTATCTGATAATTCATATTTGGAGGTCATTATGCTCATCCCAATATTTATCAATTTGTCATAATAGTTCGTTCATAATATTTAAACCACTTCAATTGAACAAATTTTTAGTTTTAGATATAAATAAACTTCACCCAATACATTTTGTGTTTCTATGACTCGCACTGCTGGTAGAAACTTAAACTAGAGGCTCTGTGTCTGTGTCGCTCGCTTGGATATATGAACATTTTGAACAAAGGCCACTCTCCAATACTATGTGTTTATCTTTTGAAACAAAAAGTTGGGATCTGTCTAAAGGATAGAAATGTCAAAAAAATCAAAATTTTCAGTAAATGTATAAAATTTCGACCCGCTGTATCTCTTAAAGTATAGCACATGAAGGTATATTTTTATTACATATTTGAATTGAGCAGGTGAAAAAAAGCTTGTATGCAAATTTTCGTCAAAAATTCACCGTCGATTGAAAACTGTATCGTATGCCCTTAAACATACCAAGTCGTCAAATTTCATGAGCGACACACGACTATGCTGCTTAATACTGATTAAGTTATGACATCAGGAAAATGTGTGCACAATGAGATGCACATTTTCAATGTGTACATTATACAAAGATTCTATAAACTCAGGGTCTGTTAAAGGAGGAAGAGTTGATAACACCTAACGAGCATCAAGAATGTTTCAGAAAATTTACCAAGTTTCAAAATCATGAAAATCCTTTAAAACTTCTTTCCAAAAGTTTGGTGTATCGTTTTAAATACACATACTCAATCTAAAGGTGCTTCTGTATTGCAAACTGTAGGAAGAGTTCATAACACAAAATAAGTACACCATTTCTCTTCTCTCTCTCTCTCTCTCTCTCTCTCTCTCTCTCTCTCTCTCTATATATATATTATATATATATATATATATATATGAACAAGTCTAAATTGAAAACAACGTTCAAACCTATGATTGCGTTGGATAAAAACCGCAATTTTTATACGTGTGCTTGCAAAGCAAATTTCTTGGTAGAGGGGTCTAAATACAGCACAAACAACATTTTCCAAAATACCTACAAGATTCAGGCATTTTACATAATGACTAATTTTTCTAGGTATTTTACAAAATGCCTGGAAAAATTGAAAGGCATTTTACAAAATGCCAGATTTTTTTATAGAATGAAATGTTAAAAAAAACGATTGAAAGCTTTGATAATTACTGAATGTTAAAGCTTGCATTTTAGGAGTTTTAATTATCAAAAATAAATTTTACTGAATTATTCCAAATTCACTCAAGCAGAAAACTCGGCAATTATTTGTTATTTATTGGGTTTCGCAATAAGCACACACGTCACAAATGAATATCTTCTTTTTCATACGTTCCCAAAAGATTCAAAGTACATTATCATGATTAGTTTGACTTGTATCTCTTGGATTATATCGTTTAACGGACTGAAGCAGATCTGCCCACGACGGGTGGTGCATCTATAGCAGGAGACGCTTACTCTGTCAATGCACCATTATTTGTCTCTTCTTGGTCCATTTTCGAGATTTTAACCACATTTAAATACTGTCTCATTAATTCGTCAGATTGAAAAGACCCAGGAATTCCTTTGAGGTAGTTGTGACGTAATAAATATTCGCTCAAAAATAAAATATAAGAATATTTATAAATGAATGTATTGAAATAAAACAAAGTAAAGAATTGTCAAATTTACAAAGAAAGTTAGAATAGTAATTTAAAATAGAAATGTTCATATCTTCGTGAAACAAAGTTGAATTGGTTTGAGAAGTTATAAGTTCAATTATATTTTTCTTTGAAAATTAAAAAGGATTTATAGAAATGGCAGGTGTCTGATCTATAAAAATTTGAATAAAGTACAACACAATATTATGTAACAGGAAATTTTATAAAAACTTATCAAAAAGAGTGGGACATGTTAATCCCTCCCCCCCCCCGAAATGAATTAAGCTTAAGTAATTATGAAAAAGGGGCACGTTTTAGACAATACATCATTATCAATAGAGATAGCGTCCCTTATAAAAAAATATCTTCTACTGTCAAATAGTTCAAGGGAGGAGTAACTCAAATTAGTTGTTAATTTTGGAAAAAAAAACTTTTGATTGGGCAATTAATCTCAGGTTGATCCTGGCGTGGCCACGTGAGGAAAACGTTTTAAGAGATAAATTTTGATAATAAAACTTCCCTTGGCAACTTGATATCGTACAATAAAGATCTAGCCTAAATTTGTGTCCATTATATTTAAGGTCCAGTTATCAAAACACAAGACGATACAAAAACACCACAAGTATCGACACAACAGATACCAACAGATTGATCGAAGATGAAGATACTCATATCTTTACCTCACAACCAAACACGGCCTTTTATGGCGAACCCCATGCTATAGAGGGGAATTTGTTTGGATGTCAATCCACTGCAGAAATAACACATATTAATTATAACCAAATTGTTCTCGTCTTAAAAATGCATGAATTATTTGCTACTGAAAATTACTCAATTAAAACAAACTTCTTTTTCTCTGCTTCATATGTTTCACTTCACTGTTTTGAATCTGGATTTTTCCAAAAAAATCTAAAAATTCGTTTGTAAAGTTTGTTCTATTGAAAGAACAAGTTGTCCTTCTGCTATTTTGACAAAGTAATCATAACTTTAATATATGAAATACAGAGTGAGTACATACTTAACGTAGTTTCACTAAAAAGAACATATCATATGACATACAAACTTTCCCAGCTGGTTTTTGAAGAATAAATTAATTATACTGAAACCATTAGTTATTTTCTTTGCAAGATGTTGTGTTTTTGTCCACTTTTTGTCATATGCATCTCAATGATATCATTTTTCTACAAATTGCCTGAAAGTGAACAGGCAATTTGTTGAATTTTGTTTCAAAATTTCAGTCATTTTACAAAATGACTAGGTATTTTTAGTCATTTTATATAATGCCTGTCAAGGTTAGGCATTTTATGAATTGCCTGAAAATTCAGTCATTTTACAAAATGCCTATAAATATATATATATATATATATTCAAACATTCTTGGACGTTTGAAGGCGTCTGTTCGAGTTGAACACTTCAGAAAGAGTCGATTACACAATGACACGTCTCCTAAATCGAAATCATATGCTACTATAATTTGACTTAGCTTAACCATTTGAAAAAATAAAAAATAATTATCAAATTGTTTACAAAATGTTTTGTATCGAAATAAAGTTAAAAGGTTAAAAATGAATTCAAATCAAATCATCATTTATTTAGATCGTACAAAATGTTAGCTTAATTCATATGAGTCTGGATGGGGGTTCCTCAATTCTGCATTCTTTAATCTTTACGCCATTTTTTCTCTATTCTTTATATTATTTGCCCATTATTCTCTGTTCTTTACACATCAACACCCCATTGTTCTCTTTCCTTTATTTTTGTTGGCCTATTTTTTTCTATTCTGTTAAACCAATCCAAACCCTCCTAATATCAATTTTTTTCTATTCTGTTAAACTAACCCAAACCCTCCTAATATCGACAAAGACGACTGTGGTACTTGTACTAATAACTTTGAATATAACTGTGTTAGAATAGTGGTACTTGTCGATTGATCGGGGATATTTAATGTGTTTGAAAACACGAAAATAACTAGCTCATTATAAGAAAAGTAAATATGCATAGTCCAGTTTACCAAAAACAGTAAATGTACTTGTTAGAACATTGCGAATAGATTAGCCTAAAACAAGCAAAACCAATAATGTTGCGATTGTTTCGTTTATCTTAACTATGTTTGTTAATGCATTTTAAGATTATGAAAATTTGCTTATTTTTTGTGAAAAGGTCAACGTGACTTTAACGCGTACGTCATGACAGTTGTGAAATGATCACTTTAGTGTGTTTAATCTTACAGGACTTAGTTAGGACTGGTTAGATAAATTTTCACTGAGTGAAACCATTGAAGGATCTTTCAATACTTAATCATGGTGGATATGCAATGCAGCTTTTGTTAAATTGAATTATTGTTATACTAGTCCAGCTCGGGTCTCGGTGACTTATCTTATTTTTTTGCTGAATTAGTTTTTTTTATACACGACGTAGATGATAAAAGATGTCTACGGTAACGAGAATAAAGATAACTCAGTTTTAATCCGTATCATTCATTTGAAAAAATTATTTGTTAGTCTTTTTATCAGAAAAATGTTTTTAAAAGCTTCTTTGATAAAAAAAAAAAGAAAAAGAAACAACAAATGCTTACTTGACATTTGAAAAAAAAAACATTTACAAATCAGATGGGCAATGATGAATCACAAGTCGATGAAGGATAGACAAACAACATTTAAAAAAACTTAACAGAAAATTAAAGATTCCATACCCCCCCTCCCCCGGTGTTTCGTGTTCTATTTTCCGGTGAACTCAATTGGAAAAGCAAGATAAAACTAAGATAATAGCAATCAAGTGCTTTGGAACGATAAGCCTTTCCTACTCCTACAAGTGGCATCCATCGTGTTGTTTAAAATGATTCAATGTTAACACAGATGTTTCGTAAAGTGACACGTCTGTTAGATCAAACAGATTTGATTGACACAGCAAGAACAGCACGATAAAGAAAAATAAGGGACAATACTTACCAAATGACTGATCGTTAATTACTTGCCAAATGACTGATCATGAAGTTTTAATACTTACCAAATGACTGATCATAAAGTTCTTACCAAATGACTGATCATAAAATACTTACCAGACACTGATCATACAGCACTTACCAGATGACTGATCATAAAGTATTTACCAAATGACTGATCATAAAGTATTAATACTTACCAGACACTGATCATAAAATACTTACCAGATGACTGATCATACAGTACTTACCAGATGACTGATCATAAAGTACTTACCAGATGACTGATCAGAAAGTACTTACCAAATGACTGATCATAAATGACTTACCAAATGAATGACCATAAAGTACTTACCAAATGACTGACCATGAAGTACTTACCAAATGATTGAACATAAAGTGTTAATACTAACCAAATTACTGATCAGAAAGTGATTATACTTACCAAATGACTGATCATAAAGTTTTAATACTTACCAAATGACTAATCATAAAGTAATCACCAAATGACTGTTTATAAAGTACTCATCAAATGACTGATCATAAAGTACTTACCAGATGACTGATCAGAAAGTACTTACCAAATCACTGATCATAAATGACTTACCAAATGAATGACCATAAAGAACTTACCAAATGACTGACCATGAAGTACTTACCAAATGATTGAACATAAAGTGTTAATACTAACCAAATTACTGATCAGAAAGTGATTATACTTACCAAATGACTGATCATAAAGTTTTAATACTTACCAAATGACTAATCATAAAGTAATCACCAAATGACTGTTTATAAAGTACTCACCAAATGACTGATCATAAAGTACTTACCAAATAACTGATCATGAAGTACTTACCAGATAAATGATCATAAAGTATTAATACTTACCAAGTTACTGATCATAAAGTGTTAATACTTACAAAATGACTGATCATAAAGTGCTTACCAAATGACTGATCATAAAGTACTTACCAAATGATTGAACATAAAGTGTAAATTCTTACCAAATGACTAATCATAAAGTAAATACCAAAATGAATGATCATAAAGTACTAACCAAATGACTGATCATAAAGTACTTACCAAATGACTGATCATAAAGTACTTACCAAATGACTGATCATAAAGTACTTACCAACTGACTGATCATAAAGTACTTACCAGATAACTGATAATAAAGTACTTACCAGATAACTGATCATAAAGTACTTACCAAATGACTGATCATGAAGTACTTACCAAATGATTGAACATAAAGTGTTAATAATTACCAAATAACTGATTAGAAAGTGATTATACTTACCAAATGATTGATCATAAAGTTTTAATACTTACCAAAAGACTTATCATAAAGTACTCACAAAATGACTGATCATCAAGTACTTACCAGATAACTGATCATAAAGTACTTACCAAATGACTGATCATAAAGTATTGCAATCTTAGTGAGATTCGCATATCTAACAATGTCTGGTATGACTCGAAACATCGTCGACCCAGGCGGCTCCACGCCTATGTGCAGATCAGGGTCAAAGTCCTTTGACTGTAATGTTGAAGTGTCCACAACAGTAATATATGGCAGACCAACAGTACGTGCAAATGATCGTATCAATAAGCCCACGTTTGGGGCAGCCATGTCGATAATTGCATTTGCTCCAGTTTTTAGCTGTTCGCAGACTGAAAAAAAGTAAACATACAATAAGGCTCTGGGTGTTTTTGTTTGTCGTGGGTAGACACCTTAAATCAGTGATGCGTTTGTAAAAGAAATGTTCATCATTGACTTTTCAGAACTCAAGTAAAACAAATATAAAATATATGTGTTTCTTGGAAGCTTAACTTGAACGTACTTATCAAAATGGCTGACACAAACAAATCAGAGATGTTTAGAATATATGTCTTTGACCTTAGGGTCTACCTCAAGGACATTTTAATACCGTTAGCACCAGTGATGTTTAATCAATATGTCCCTGACATTAGGGTCTACCTGATGGACATTTTTAATATTAATCTTGTCAACACACAATAAAGTTAGAATAATTAATGTGATTCCTTGTCATGTTTAAGACTGTTAGTAGGAGCATGGAAGTAATATTCAATATTACTTCCATGGTAGGAGCTAATATTTTCGAGTTTTAATAGTCAATGTTTAAAATGTTGCATTTTCGCGTTTAGAATTCATTGCATCAATTTCTGGTTGCCGGGTAACGAGTTAGTATATTGCTGAAGAAACAATAGCCCTTCTTGACGGCGGATACATATCGATAAGGCCCGATTCTTGAAATTGCAGCCGAAATGTTGACCTAAAATATTTTTTATATATGTTTTAAGTTAGTTTATCGTATATGATGTAAATCATGAAAAACCAGGAATGGACTCAAACAGGAATCCAATAAATGATAGAATCTCTAATTTACTCGTAGATCTCACCTATAGCAACCAGAAGAAACATTTACTCGCGGTTCTCTATAGCAATCAAAAGAGACATTTACTCGCGGTTCTCAATAGAAACCAAAGGAATAGTTAAGAATTCAAAAGAATTATGCAGTGCTAATACAAAAAGTAATATTTCAAACTGAACTACACTGCGGGAAAAACAGTCAAATATAAAAATGGTATGATTGTCAATGAGACAACTTTCCATCAAAGACCAAATGACGTAGAAGTTAGAATCTATAGGTCACCTCAGGGCCTTTGACAGTGCACAAAACCCATACCATACCGCATAGCAAGCTATAAAAGGCCCCGACATGAAAAATATAAGTTCAAATATTCAAACGAGAAAACTAACGGTCTGGTGTATTGTGAAAAAACAAGGCAAAGATGATGCCCTGTTGGTTTTAGTAACAGTGATGTTGAAGGACAACTTGAGATGGTCGTGATTTTTCAGACACATTTGATGCATCCGCAATGATTGTGATTTAATCCATTTATATGACCAAAAAATTCAACAACCCATCATTTGTGGAAAATTTAAAGAAAATAAAAATCCTGACAAGACGCACACTTAATTATATATATACTAACATCTTTAATAATAAAGTTCTGGCTTGAAATCCGTAGGAAGAGTAAGCCAGACAAACAATACACTCTGTAAGCCTCATATTGCTAAAAAAAGTTAAAAAACACGACATTTGTTGAAAATCTAAAGAAAAGAAAATCCATAGAGCAAATGAACACCTTTAGATGATATACTATCATCCTACATAATATGATAGCTCTTGCTTGAAACTGTAGTAGAAGTTAGTCCTATGAAGCGTTTACCATAAAATTGAGAATAGAAATGGGGAATGTGTCAAAGAGACAACAACCCGCCCAAAGAGCAGAAAACAGCCCAAGGCCACCAACACAGCGATAAAATCCCACACCCGGAGGCGGGCTTCAGCTGGCCCCTAAACAAAAATGTGTACTAGTTCAGTGAAAATGGACGTCACACTAAACTCCGAAACATATAAATGAACTAAAATTTTAAAAACATACAAGAGTAACAAAGGCCAGAGGCTCCTGACTTGGGACAGGCGCAAAAATGCGGGGGGGTTAAACATGTTTTGTGAGATCTCAACCCTCCCCTAGCCATGTATGCCTTATATAACAATAAAATGACAATTTTATGGAAATTTAAAGAAAATAAAAGATTCTGACAATATGCGCATCTTTGATATTAAAATCACACCTTACATAATATAAATTGGTTTGCTTGAAAACAGTAGAAGTTAGCGATCCAACCCACATACCCGATGTGGGACGGACGCACAGGGGCCAAACAATTGGTCCAATAATTTGTTCTCGTGGGCATAACAATAAACGATAAAAAATATGATATACATAAACAAACGACAATCACGACAATGTTTGCGGGTGCCCCCATTAACTTGGGGCAGTGTTGTAACATCACAACATGTTTAATCTTCAATAATTTCTATAAATTAAAAATCTTACCTTCAGCTAAAGTTTGGTTCTGGTCATGTGATTTGATTACTTTTATCTTCCCTTCCCATTCTAAAGTTCTTCCTATTAACTTATTTTGCTTAAGTTTTGCGTCTTCTACTACAGCAACTGCAAAATTGGATTAATAAGGATAAATGGATAAATGTGATAATAAGTAAATTAATCGTGGCTATAAGATATCGTGGTTAATTGTAAAGACACTCTCCGTGAAAATTTCTTACGATTTCAAAAAATTTTAATGTACGCCACTACAACTCAGTGAAGCAACCATAGCACAATGGCACATTTCACGGAGGAGGACGAAATACCTTTAGTCATAGTTCGCCATGGACATCCTTTCCAACCACAGGCACTTGTCTCTGACAAAAATATCTTTAAGATATGTAAACAATTTTTTTTCAGAGACAAGTGTCTGTGTTTGCCACAACGAAATCACAAGACACGTCGTTTTCAACTCCCGTTCCTGGAGATTCAACTTTTTTGTTACCTATGAGATTTTTGCATTATAAAGATAATAGAGTACCAATCTTTGAACAAATTTTAAAAATGAAATTTTAATCCTACCAAAAAACTGCGATCTAGCTCCTATACACAAACACACAAGCAGAAAACCCCGATACACAATATCAATCGCCATTTTGTTTGTTCGTCTGGTAATCGATGGCTTACCTTATTGTTAATTGGAAATATCAATTAATTGTCAGGTAGACGACCTAAATGGAAAAATAGTTGATAAATCAATACAGAAAATTAAAATTTGTATTTGTAGTTTTGCTGTTTATTTCATGACCTATCAAATATTCATTATAAAAGTATGTAGGATAAAGTTACTAATTTCCTACCAAATGCAAGAAGGACGAGACAATAGACAACTCTCTATTCTGTAATATCATGCATCAAAATACGCTTCCATACATTCGACTAGTAACAACTTATTACATCACCCCAGTTTCCCAAAATCTGAAGCTAGCGCCTTTTATGTACATTGGTATGAATGGCGTTAGTCGATTTCAAAGTAAAGAGAAAATGAACCGCTCACAGATGTTACTGACATATTATCATATACTTATAGTAAATAACTTATAATTTTTACAGTATGTTAATAACAATAAATTAACGTGAATTCCATATTTACCGAAAGGGGGCTTATCGGGGGGATATTAAGAAAAATTTATCAACCGCTTTCGGCTATTCAGTATCGCATGGCATTCCGGCGGTAATCGGCAAATTCCGGAAAATACACCTCAATGGTACGTTTTCAGTGAAAAACATAACAAAACAGGGTACAAAACAAATATTAGGAAACAGGAAAATACATTATGTAAAATGCAAAAAGAATGATCAATAAATGCATTTTCAAAGTTTCCAGCATAATTCAGCAAGTTACTTTACAAATGTTGACTTTTCCAAATAGTGTTATTTTTGTTTTATGTTTTGTTGATTTTTTTTATCGTCAATATAAAAATGTATTATCTGTTGTTTTTCTCCTCTTTTGTGGCATATGATAGAAAGATTTCATATCGGGTGTATTACATTTGGCGTCCGTCGTCCGTAAACTTTTCACTTTTTTAACTTCTACTTGAGAACCACTTAAAAGGATCAATATATTAAACTGTTAATTTTCTCCACTGTTGAAGCATATGATAAAAAGATCATAACATGTCATTCATCATATCAGATGTATTATCAACCCTCGGACAATATCAGCCATCGATCTTTCGGCGTCATCGAGTAATTATATATAATTCTGTTCATGTTCATTTTCATCGTGAAAATAAATAATAAATAACATTGACTCATGTTAAACAACTATTTAAGTAACTTTAAAATGACGCTTAATCAAACTCCTGTCTACTGAGTGTTTTATGACGATAAACCTCAGTCTACAAAAATACACCATCTATGTCAAATAAGTGACACATATATATAGGCATCATTTACGTCAGAATTCACAATAGCAATATAGCAAAACGGGCGCAACACTGGTTCCAACTACATCATATAAAAACGCTACATTGACTATCATGTTGACTAACAGACACACAAAGGTTGTACATCAGCGTTACATAAGAACCATAGAAGAGTCATATGAGCAACACAAGCCCATCTGTTTCATTTAAAAAAAAAACTCTTCAAATCTGAGAAACATATTAAAAATGTATGTGGGAAATACGAGTATTGATCTTAAAAATGTGAGCAAGTGACGAATGCGCGAGGCAAGCATTCGGGTATAATAGATCGAAAAATATTATATATACACAGAAACCCATTTACTAATTGGAGTTATAAAACAGATATTTTACAAAAAGAAAACCAATTCGTTAATGGTGCGTCACATAAAATAAAACTCTTTCAAATCTAGTGAATTCATATTGTAAGGTCATATAAAATTGAGAATGGAAATGGGGAATGTGTCAAAGAGACAACAACCCGACCAAAGAGCAGAAAACAGCCGAAGGCCACCAAAGGGTCTTCAATACAGCGAGAAAATCCAGCATCCGGATGCGTGCTTCAGCTGGCCCCTAAACAAAAATATGTACTTGTTCAGTAATAATGGACGTCACACTAAACTCCGAAATATATAAAAGAAACTAAAATTAAAAATCATACAAGACTAACAAAGGCCAGAGGTTCCTGACAGGCGCAAAAATGCGGCGGGGTTAAACATGTTTTTTGAGATCTCAACCCTCCCCTATACCTCTAGCCAATGTAGAAAAAACAAACACACAGCAATACGCACAGTAAAACTCAGTTTAAAAAAATCCCGAGTCCGAAGTCAGAAAAGGTAACAAAAGAAACTAAACAAAATGTCAATGATACACATATTAACAAAGGACATATTCATACTGCAATGACAAATCCCTTCGTACATATAATGTAGGTTCAACAAGTTTGCACCAACAAAATTTGAATGTTTTCACTCGTGAAGGTTTATTTGTTCGAAACTGGTCCAAGTAGCCATTGCGGCACATTTTTGTCCTATCTTAAGTACAAGATTGTTCCATGTAATCCTTGTATTTACTTTTCGTTTTCTCTAGATCAGCATGTCTACAATATCGAGATATATATATAATATTTAATAAAATTAGTATTTGATGTGGCGGTATCTTTTACGACAGACAAAACATAGCTGATCTGAAAGGTACACATCTACTTGCATACATCATGTACTGTGTTACAACCCTAGATAAAGCCGACAGGAAATGCATTACTCGACTAACGAAAGCTATATTTTTATATAGCCTAGTTGGTCGAGTGATCTAGTGCGCTCGACACAGTACCTGCGGTGTTGCCATTGTGTCCCAAAAGCAAGGGTTCGAATCCCGCTGAGGGAAGAACAATAATTTGCTAATGCAAATTTGCAGATCTAACATTGTTGGGTTAAATTTGAGACGAATTATATTGATAGAACATGAAATTATTGTATGATTTACAACGAGAAAACTTTCCATGGAGAACAAACGACACATCTCAAAAACCACTTCCGTATTGTAAGCTATAAAAGGCTTCAGGATATAATGATAACAAAATGTGGCACAATTCAAAAGAAAAACAACGGCCTGATTTATATTACAATTAACGAAAAAGAGTAAACAGCAAAAATTAACAATCATAAGATTACAGTGTCATTGCTGTATACTAGTACTTCTTTCTAATTGAATTCGGGCCAGTTTATTCCTGCTCGTGGTCGTAAGACGCAATTACGGTTTGTGAATTTTAAACTCTCGAAAATGTATAAGATTTTGAATTTGAATTACATAAAACGTCTTCCTGATTCTTTTTGTCCTACGGCATCATGTTGTTGGAATGATACGATGGTAATTTTATTCAAAGAGGAACCACGTAAAGAGGGATTGCGTTGCGTTGCTTTAGGCACTCAGTATATAAGTTTTGTTTTGTGTTGTACAAAGTTTGTAATTATGTGTTATTTCCAGTCTGTCATGTCGTCTTAATATTCCTAATTTCCTTAATCGCTTCACTAAATTATTACAAACTGCATTAAAAAATATGAGCCATAAAGTGTCCTGCATATTACCCTTATTTAGCAGTCATATACAATAAGACATTGGTTAAAAGTATACCTGGTGATGCTTCAATTAGACAGTAACCCCAAAAATAAATAAATAGAATAAAAAACCAAAACAATAGAAAAAAAACAGCTTTTAGATGTCAACACAATTTCTTCACTGATAAGTTTCCAACCTAAAAATTGTGAATGAATTCTATCTAAGATCTGCCATCAACGTGCAGTATCATATTATTTTATGCTTCGCTTTTGATCACAGCTGCCATCAACGTGCAGTATCATATTATTTTATGCTTCCGGCTTTTGATCACAGCTGCCATCAACGTGCAGTATCATATTATTTTATGCTTCGCTTTTGATCACAGCAGCCATCAACGTGCAGTATCATATTATTTTATGCTTTGCTTTTGATCACAGCTGCCATCAACGTGCAGTATTATATTGTTTTATGCTTCGCTTTTGATCACAACTGCCATCAGCGTGCAGTATCATATTGTTTTATGCTTCGCTTTTGGTCACAGCTGCCATCAGCGTGCAGTATCATATTATTTTATGCTTCGCTACTGATCACAGCTGCCATCAGCGTGCAGTATCATATTGTTTTATATGCTTCGCTTTTGGTCACAGCTGCCATCAGCGTGCAGTATCGTATTATTTTATTCTTCGCTTTTGATCACAGCTGCCATCAACGTGCAGTATTATATCGTTTTATGCTTCGCTTTTGATCACAGCTGCCATCAGCGTGCAGTATCATATTATTTTATGCTTCGCTTTTGATCACAGTTGCCATCAACGTGCAGTATTATATTGTTTTATGCTTCGCTTTTGATCACAGCTGCCATCAGCGTGAAGTATCATATTGTTTTATGCTTCGCTTTTGGTCACAGCTGCCATCAGCGTGCAGTATCATATTATTTTATTCTTCGCTTTTGATCACAGCTGCCATCAACGTGCAGTATCATATTGTTTTATGCTTCGCTTTTGGTCACAGCTGCCATCAGCGTGCAGTATCAAATTATTTTATTCTTCGCTTTTGATCACAGCTGCCATCAACGTGCAGTATCATATTATTTTATGCTTCGCTTTTGATCACAGCTGCCATCAACGTGCAGTATCATATTATTTTATGCTTCGCTTTTGATCATAGCTGCCATCAACGTGCAGTATCATATTATTTTATGCTTCGCTTTTCGCACAGCACTTATTATTATATCCTTATACTACTGATTATAATTTTGATTCTATTGGTACAATTAATCAATTTATATATACATGTATAATTCATTGTTGATGTTAATAAATCATGTAGAAAGCGGAATATGTTTCTTAAAAGTATCCTAATATATCAGTTGTTTATTTTATTTAAATTATGATAATTGCGTTATTTACTGAAAAAATATATGTCTATCCAGGTACAATAAAAAGTCAATATTTCAAAATGTGTCTTGATATCATACTATTTACTAATGTTGCCAGGTAACGCATGCCAACATATAATACATTTCTCCTGTAAATGTACATAGAATCGATGGGTTTGATGGCTATTTAGTTGTAATAGAAGTCGATTTGATGCTATTATATGCACTGGAATACACAAGGCAGTTCAACCATGAAAGGTTTTTTCTGATAAGACAATGATTTTATAACTGGAGTGGTTACAGTTATTGGCTTTGGTGGACGACTCACCACCTGGTAATTGCGCCCTGGTAACTTACTTATTTGAATAATCCGTTGTATTTTTCGAATTAAGTACTTTTAGATTATTTAATTTAATCATGTAAGTGAGAGTATATAGAAAAAAAATACACGGATTTACTGCTTGTCTAAGGGTGCGTATGTTTCTATAGATTGATTGATTGGTGTTTAACGCCCCTTTTAGCACTACTTAGACCGCTAGGCCACCGAGGCCCCTTGTTTCTGTAGAACATATAACTGAGGTTTTATATTTTTACAAACTATTGTACTTACATTTATGATGATTAAGTGAGATTAGTGGTCCGAGTCAGAGGTACCGTGGGAATCGTGTTGTGTATATGTTACAGTGATTTTGTATAACCAGGGATTATGTAGAATCCCTGATTTTTCAGGGATTCTGCATAATCACTAAAATCATTAGTGATTATATATAATCCCTGAAAATGACCAGTGATTTTACACATCACTAAAAATTTTAAGAATTATTTTACAAATTCCCTGGAATGTTTTCAGGGTTTATCAACAATACAAAGATTCTCTGTTTGGTAAAAAATAATTCAAATACAGACAAATAAATTGTATGTATAGCCTCTTTATGGTTTAAGTGGATAGTTGTCATTCCCTGACCATTTATCAAATCTTATTAAAGTGGACATTTTTTTCTGGTGATATTATATTTACCTGTGTTAAATCACATTTACTCATAAACAAATAAGTATTTTAAATTGAAATTAATAAAACCAACATAAATGCACATATCATGTAATTTGCCGTGAAACAAAGGGGATGAAAGTTTACGAACAAGGAATTCGAACTAAGCGATGAAATGCAACTAAACGTCCAGAATCACAAACAGAACACATGCTTGACAGATTGAACACAATTTTGAGGAGGCTGTGATGCCGATTCCGCATGTTGATCGTGGAAAAGGAGACCCCCAAAAACATAATGGCCATCGTTCTTAAAAGGGCTGAAAAAAAGGATAATGCCCGACTACGAAAAATGAACTTATGCCCTGATGATACAGAAGGAAACAATTTTATGTGTCTGATTGACCTTTTTAGCACCTTTAGATATTTCAAATGAACACTTTATTTCTCTTCAAAGTGCAGTAAAATCAGATTCAATATGTAACGGCTTTTTTTTCTTTTTTTTTAAAGGGGGATAAGCAGAGGAAATGTTCAATAGTAGAGGGTCTGGATGGGGTTTTCAGAATAGAGAATAATAGACAAACAGTGCAAAATAAAGGTTCTAAAAAAGAATAGACAAAAATATACAACAAAATAAGAATAGACAAAAATATACAAAAAAAATGAGAATAGAGAATAATAGTGTGCTAAAACATACAGGATAGAGAAAAATGATATAAAAAAATTAAAGAATAACAAAATGAGGCACCCCCATCCTCACCCTCATAGTAGATGTCATCCAAATTTACAATGTAGATAGTAGTTTGTAAAAATTAATGATATGTATTAGAATACTGTGCTTAAGATTTTGATATTTATGTTTCTAAAGATGTTTAAATATGATTTTATAGAATAAATTATTTTACTTTTATTCATCGTCTCTTCATTCCAGTTATTATGTATAATCCCTGACATTTTTTCTAGTGATACTGTATAATTCCTGAACATTTTAGTAATTATATATAATCACTAAAGTTACCAGTGATTAAACATAATCCTTATTTCTACAAATCACTGTAACATGTAGTATAGTATACCTTGGTAAGCATGCATTTTATTGTTCGCTATTCTCTAATCTGGTTATAATATTGTCTGACCAGATTACAGAATCGGAGGTGATTGTTCTCCTTGATTCGAAATTGTTTCTGCTACATTGGAAGATAAGTTTCTTCTGTAAAAATTAAATCGACTGAGATTAGCTGTTAACAACCTGTTATGAATTCAATAAACACAAGTAGTCCTTTATCTTTTTTCTTGGTTGGCTCATAGACTTTATACTGTCATTTAACACGTCATTTGTGTAATATTTCATTTCTATATTAAACTAACCGACAAAAATACTTGCAGAACATATCACTCTTATCGAATGAAACTGGTCATGATGGCAGAATTTGATGGGAATACTAAGAAAACCGAAAGATGCATAAGAACTTAGTTACATTTTCATAGAGATATACAACTGTAGAAGTTTTCTCTTAAAACATTGAGCAAATTCAACAAAGCATGGCGTTTACTTTTAGTGTAGGTTAATTAGTTCCTCTACATGGACCCCCTAAATCAGACTTAGTGGTTTAAAACCGCCAATATCACAAACTGGAACTTATACGTAAAAGTCAACGAATCATGAAACCACAATGGGTTAGAATGACCTGATGTCGTAAGGAAGCTGAAATTTTATCCTAGCTGTATAATCATGGTTTTTTATTGCACCTTTATACTTTCGATTTCCTTTTTACATGGACGTTTTAAAAGACATGCCTGGTAATATAAAATTAGTTGAGACTTTAAAAAATAATCTAACCTGTCAAAGTTCATACGCTTGACCAAAGCAAGAAACCGCGCCAAGGTTCATGTGCTTGACCCAAGTCAGGAATCGCTTCAAGGGTTATCTTTTTTTAAATCAACAAATTGTTTTTGTCATTTGGCAAATTTGGTGTTGATAGAAGATTTTTGTAGGTCTCAGTTAGATATGTACTACTGTTTTATACTCTGGGCTATTTAGAGCTTGACACATTGTATAAACTCTTGTTGACCGGTAGATGTTGTTTAATTTCCGTTGTTCGTTGAGTCTTATCATATGCACACAATTTCTTTATTCAAATAGCTATTCGTGAAAAAAAGACCTTTATAATCTTTCGTCATAGTTCAATCACTGTCAAGTTGTTCTTATCTGAAAACGGTTTTGGTTGAGGGCCGTACGGTGACCTATATTTGTTAACTTCTATGTCATTTGGTCTCTGGCGGAGTGGTGTCTCATTGGCAATTAAACAAAATACAATGTATATCAGAACAGACATCCAGTATTGATAGTAGATGAAGTGTAGAAAATTAAATAGACTTATTACACACTATATTGTAGTATAGAGGTCGAACACGCCACCGGAGAAAGGTATGGGGTATTTGTGACGACATCCAAGGCAGCGATTCAAATATGCATTAGTGTGTCGCCGGATAGACTTATTTACATAATAAAAAAATCATTTGGTTTTACTATGTATCTCTGAAATAAAAATATTGTTTTTTTTTTAATTTTAAGATGACACAAAATAGTACAGCTTATAATCTGCATGATCTGTAAAGGTCATAAAATGTGTTTGTCTAATAAATATGAACTTATATGATGACAAAATAAACGTTACCCACAAAAATATTTTAAACACCACGAAGAAAATGAACAGGCAATTGAGTTGGCAGGCAATGGGGTTGGCATTCACGACACTTTTTTTTGTTAGAAAAACTTAAAATGTTATGAAATTATTTTAAATCACAACAGGTGCAAATAATTGATATTGTGTCGAAGAAATTTGGTGGGGTGATAATGTTATAATGTTGCAAAATAAAAATATCTAACATAGTAATAAATAATTACCATAAGGGAACACCGAGTTTTAATTTTTCAATTTTGCTTACCATCGAAAGTTATGTCATTTGGTAAATGCCTTTTCTCTTTCGGTATATAAAAGACCAAACATTTAAGAGAGAGGCGAAAGATACCAAATGGACATTCAAACTCATAAAGTCGAAAATAAACTGACAACGCAATGGCTAAAATAGAAAAAGACCAACAGACAAACAATAGTTCACAAAACACAACATAGAAAACTAAAGACTGATCAACACGAACCCCACCAAATACTCAGGTGCTCCAGAAGGGTAGGCAGATCTTGCCCCACAGGTGGCACCCGTCGTGTTGCTCATGTTATATATCAATGCATTGATTTACAAATATATCAATGCATTGATTTAGTTTTGGTCATCAACGGTGCTCTCAAAGTTATCTATAAATATTTGATTACTTTTTATATTCCCCTTTGACAAGTAAATTACAATATATATTTAATGATATGCAGCAATTGTATGAGTTTCATCTTTCTTTATATGATTGAAAATTTCACTTGGAAATTTTTTATTTTGCAAATGTTCAAATTCTACGATTCCTTCTTCAAAAAGTGGCCATTCTTGCTCAATAACAGCATGTGTTTTTCATCTTTCAAATATCCAACACCACGAGAATGAGGTCCCATGTCTTTGTTAAAAATGAAATCCCACAAGACTTTTAACCATGATGTATGATAAGGTTGGTCGTAATATTCCGCGGCAATTCTTTTCACTTCCGGTAATTTATGGTATGGTATGTATGGGAAGTCGTGGTGTTCGATATGGTATCCAACATTAAACAGAATAAAATTTAAAGGCCCATAGTATGAATGTGTTGCTTGTCCTTTATTGAACAAATAGTGTTCGGAAATAAAATGTCCAGCAAGCGGATGGAAGCCTAGTCCAAAAAGAGTGCCACTTAAAAGGTAAACGATTGATTTAACGCCCAAATATTTCAAGATAATTAAGTTGAAGGTCATTTGTATAGCGCTATTTATCATTTCCCATGCAGTCAAAGGTTTTGGACTTTTATAGAATGGACGAATTCCGTGAATTGCAGGATGAATAAGTAGCCATAACACTTTTGTTATGGGGTGGCGAAAAAGATATCCTTCTAAGCGCGTAGGAATATCAACATCTTGATTCTCTTCTCCGAGGTATTTATGGTGGTCTGCGTGGTATTTCTTATAACTTATAGCCATTGGTACTATTATGGGAATGTTACACCAAATACTAAGCAATCTATTAGCCCAGGGTCTTGCATGACCAAAGGCTAAGTTATGTCCTATTTCGTGTATTGCACTTCCGAGCGAATGATTCAATACTCCACCTAAGCAGTAGGCTAGAATAAAAATTGAACTCCAATTAGCCCCTTGTAGCAACCAACACATAAACAGTTGAACAATGACTTCTGCTGTAACAATATAAGCAATTGATGGATCATATCCCATTAGTTTCTTAATTTCTGGGTATTTTCTTAAAATCTCTTTCCTACGAGCAGTGTGTGGCTCTTCTTGGTAAATCCAGTCTTCGTCAGTTGAGTTTATCCGAAAGTCTAAGCTCGCACAACTTTGGAAGAATTCCATTTTGCCTGAAATAAATATATTCTATATTCATATATAAATATTATATCTAATATAGGAACGATTTATAATTTATATCGGACATGGTTTTAGTATATAGATTTCCATTTTGTTTTCATGTGTAGCAACAATCGCATGGTTTTCAAAATCTCTTCCAACAAAATACCAATAGGCCAGTGAAAATTAACTTGTGTTGCTAATCCAGCTTAATAATTACATAATGACAAAACCAATCAGCTTTTGCTTTATCATGACTCTATTCGGGTACTATAAACAATTAACATAACTGTTATCACATTCATTGACATGTCATATTGCTAAACGCGTTATCATTAAATATTATTGTTTGTGTTTAAAGCTTTTAAAAAGTCATTATATATAATGGTAAATAAATGATCGAAAACCAGGTATTCATGTAGTTCCAATCATGTCTTCTTTATCTACCAACTCCATTTTATAAGTAAATATTGTTGTTTGTGTTTAAAGCTTTCAAAAAGTCAATATATAATGGTCAATAAATTATCGAAAGCGGGTATTCATGTAGTTCCAATCATTTCTTCTTTAATTACCAATTCCGTTTAAGATAGGCATGTGTTTTTGTTTTCTAAATAGAATCAATTAATTTGAGATTCAGAAAGCATAAGCAACTTGTCTTAAAATTAAGGAATATACCGAAGTTCCAATAATGTCAGAAAAGTAACTGAAAGGCTCCTGGGGCCAGTTTCACGAAGATATCCTAAGACCTGTCATAAGATTGATCTCAGGACATGTCTTATGGTCCTCTTGTGACTATCTTGGGACATACATCAGACCTCGCCTCGAAGCTGTCTTAGGATGATCTTAGCAAAGATATCCTAAACCTGTCGCAAGTTCTTTAAATTTTTAAATATCAACATGTATTTATGGAAAATTCATGAAATGTAGAATGTCTTTCCCAATTAACTAAACGTATTGTTTAATATTCCATAATATGATAATTTGCAAAATTAATACAAAAAAATAAGTGTATTTTATAAATAAACTTGTGACTATCCTAAGACCGTCATAAGACACCTCTCGTATAGTCCTAACTTTATGAACAACATTATGAGAGATCCTAAGTTAGGACCACTTTGTGAAACCCACTTAGGACTAAGATATGTCGTAAGACCATCCTTACACAGCTTTGTGAAAATTGGCCCCAGGCATATGACTTTTCTAACTTTTTCGAGCATTTCAATTGAAAATGCGTTCACTATTCAAAGAGAACTACCAAGATATGTATCTCAGAAAGATATAAACAAATAAAAGGCTGAATAAATATACTATATGCATATAATTGTCTGGTCAAAACGAATGGATCCGTTGGTTTATTCCCCTTTTCTTCGGATTTTTTCTTTAAATCCCCCCCCTAAAAAAAATAGACATAAAAAGTCAGAGAATCTCATACAACCTCTATCGTAAAAAAAAATCAAGATCCGCGCCGCATAATATATTCCGAAGTTATCAAATAGGACAAATCATCCTTTTCAGTAGTGACTATATATGTTAACCACCTATCCTTATTTTCCACGAAATATATAAACTATTGTTATTGTAACATCGTAAGGATGAGAGCAAGAACACATTAAACAACTGAAAAAAAGAAAGTAAAAATATAAAAGAATATTTACTAAAAAAAAATTAAAACAATAAAATAGGAAAACGCCTGTGCAACTAATTGCAAACTCATAAATAAAACATTTTTTTTCTTTGAAAAATTATTAATTTCGTGTTTTTTTATATAATCTTCTATTTTATAAATTTAAACTTAAATCTTACCTTCTAGTAGATTCCGTTTTTAGAAATCAATGAAGTCACGCACCAACTAATCACCGTGTGAAAGGTGTTGATTTGTTATGACAACTCGTTGAAGGTAAACCAATGGTCAAAAAGATGAAATTATTTAAACCTAGTTATTGAACCAGTTATGATTAAAATGTCTTACCAGCAAAAAACTTTCATGTTAAAACTAGATTGTGATTCTGGTGCATTAAAATCTAGTCTATTTTACGGCAAATCTACAACACAACTTTCCTATCATGCAGAATTTAGACGAAATATACCAGCCACTTGGCGTTACATAAACAACATTAAAAATCAACTTGACTAAGAATTATCTTCAAGTTTTACATTTATTCATTATGAACCATTATATACATACATTAACGCGTTCACTCAATAAAACATTTGTAATTTCAATTAAAAATGTGTTCACTATTCAAAGAGAACTACCAAGATATGTATCTCAGAAAGATATAAACAAATAAAATATAAATATACTATATGTATATAATTGTCTGGTCAAAACGAATGGATCCATTGGTTCATTCCCCTTTTCTTCGGATTTTTTCTTTAAATCCCCCCCCCCCCCCCAAAAAAAAAAATAGACAAAAAGTCAGAGAATCTTAAGCATTATAATACTTTCTAAAGCTCAAGCACTCTCTGTTATATTAGATCATTTGACCATTTGTAAATTCACACCAAGCTCTTTACACCACTTGCAAAGAAACAGATTGGCGGTGCCAACCAGTGGACGCTTCCATACCTGGCAGTCAGGGTATGACATTATGCTTTAGTTAAAGTTTTAACCAGATTGTCTAATATGAACCCCTTTGGACAGTGACGTCAATGCATAGTAAATTGACTGTTTTTGATGGTAAAGGGACTACAACTCAAACTAGAATCCTGGCAAGGGGGAATTTAACTTTTTTTTTAGAACAAGAATGTCCCGAATATTTACAATGTTGATAAGGTAATAGTTATTTTTAAATTTTTTTATTGTATTTCAACAATTTAGCATTTATAACATTTTTTGGGAGGGTGGTGTATATCATGAAACAGGTTTGCATTTCGGGACTTATAGGCAGGGTCATGTTTACCCAATGTCTGACCTGCAGAAAGAAAACACGTCCAGCATGTTTGGGTCGAGAGTGTAAATAACCCACACTACCATGGTTTGTATGTTCCGTGGGATAGTGCGTGTATGTTACGGTGGCTTTGTAGAATTAGGGATTATGTGTAAACCCTGAAATTTTTAGGGATTATGTATAATCACTGGTGACTTTAGTGATTATATATAATTACTAAAATGTTCAGGAATTATACATTATTCATTCATTGTCTCTTCATTCCAGTTATAATGTATAATCCCTGACTAGAAAAAATGTCAGGGATTATACATAATAACTGGAATGAAGAGACAATGAATAATAGTAAATAATTAATTCTATAAAATCATATCTAAACATCTTTAGAAACATAAATATCAAAATCTTAAGCACAATATTCTAATACAAATCATTAATTTTTACAAACTATTGTCTACATTGCAAATTTGGATGACATCTACTATGAGTGTGTGGATGGGGGTCCCTCATTTTGTTATTCTTTAATTCTTTATATCATTTTTCTCTATACTGTAATTTTAGCACACTATTATTCTCTATTCTCATTTTTTTGTATATTTTTGTCCATTCTTATTTTTTTTGTATATTTTTGTCCATTCTTATTTTTTTGTATATTTTTGTCTATTCTTATTTTGTTGTATATTTTTGTCTATTTTTTTTAGACCTTTATTTTGCACTGTTTGCCTATTATTCTCTATTCTGGAAACCCCATCCAGACCCTCTACTATTGAACATTTCCTCTGCTTATCCCCTTTAACGAAAACTTAAAACTTAATGATAAAACAATATTAAATACCAGAAGAAATTCAAGGAATTATCTGAAAACATTTTTTAATTTGTAAGCGTTTGATTTACTTTCAAAATATATTTTTAATCTACTATGCTAACATAACTACGACCTCTTTGGACTTCTATGATAAATGTCTAATATTGTTTCTGATCTTTCTGTTTGGTTATATGTGGATATTTCGAGGATTTGGACTCCTAACAATTCAATTCAGTATGTTTACAAAACGTTACGTAATATTCTAGTTATCCCCCTTGCTACCAAAGGGACATTTATATCTTCTAAACACAAAACTCGGCAGCAAGATGGTTAACGGCGTTTTTCTATCAATGACGTTATACCTCCAAAAGTTGGAAATCAAGTTCATGGCGGGTCACATTTATTGTCTCCATTTTCTAATGTTGTTGTTTTGTTTCCATACGAGTAGATCTAAGCTTTACATATTTACGTTGATTTCCTTCTCGGGAAAATATATCGCTCGAGAAAATAACTTGTCATTATAGTTATATTATAGAACACATGTATAAAGAAATCAGGAGGATAACATATATAAAATGCATTTCAAAGTCAATTTTCTTAAAAAGTATTTTAATTTGGAATACAAAAGGACCTAAGAAAGCACATAGTAGTATATAATAAGTAGATGCGATATGATTGCCAATGAGACAACTTTCCACCCGAGACCAAATGACGTAGATGTTAGCAAGTATAGGTCGCCGTACGGTCATCAACAACAAACAAAACCCATACCTCTTAGAAAGCCATAAAAGGCTCCGACAAATAAAAAAATAAAACAATTCAAATGAGAAAACCAACGGCCAGATTTATGTTCTAAACAATAAGCGAAAAACAAATATGATATACAGTAACAAACGACAGCCACTGCATTACAGACCGTGGACTTGGGACATGCAGGCACATACAGAATATGACGAGGTTAAACATGTTTGCGAGCTCCAAACCCTCTCCTCGCCTTAACCTGGGCAGTGGTGTAACAAAATAACAAAGAAGAACAAACTATAAAAATCAGTTGAAAAGGACTTGACTCATCAAATAGATACAAAGCAAAAATAATCAAATAACAGAAACACCAAAGACACAAAGAACCGATCTGGGAGTACTCGCATTTACTGGAAGCTAGTTCCAAGTCAGTAACATCTAAAAATTATGAATCCAAGACAAAACGTTACTTTTTCTTAATTTCAGAATGGTTTTCTGCTGCCAATATCCATCTTTATATTCTCTGCTATTAAGAACGATGATTTCTTGTCTTGGGTCAAAAATAAGGT